TATTTCAAACATTCTATATAATGAACATTAATATATATGGATAAAATAGTTTAATATATGCAAATTTACTTTATATATTTACCACTCTTTAGTCATTTCTAATTTTATTATTATTAATTTTTATTCTTTCCTTCCTCGGCTCTAGTCACAATCTTTACACAGTAAGTAATGCTGATTATAAAGTTCCTGAAATACGCTTGGAATATGGTTTCCCAGAGCATGAACCTCAAATCGATTCACACAACTCAGTTAGTCACGATGATACCACAAAAGATGTTGTACCAACAACATATGCACCTCACATATAAACGGCACATACATTCACATACCACACATACTTAGACATCCAAATATCCAATAAAAGTCAAAAATCCCATAGATATATATTCCTATAAAACAAAGAAAGAAAAAATAATCAAATTAATCTAGTAGTAGTTATTATAATAATTTATTATAATATTTATTTAATTGAATTGATATTAATTAATTCAAGCCAATTCCTATGGAAGCTGCTGTTAAGTTATCCAGCTGCATCCTAACAACTAACTCCAAAAAACCTAATGACAAGTATTCCAATAATGCAACCAATTCCGTCAAATAAGTAGACGCATAACTGTTATACATTAAAACATTTTAAAACATTTTAAACTTCTCATACATTAAGCTTAGTTTACATTTAATACAATATCAATAACATCGCACCCGTTCCTGATCCATGCACGATTTTTACCACCCCTTCCAATACACCACATATCCACAAACACACACACAGCAAAGTATACGCACAGTTACAGAATTCTACATTAAGTTACTTAACTAAAACATTACAATTTTTCCACAAAATAAAAACCAAAAATATTAAACTTTTGCGATGACGTCAAATAATAACAACCACAAAAACAAAATCATCGTCATAACAACAACAACAACTTTAACAACAATTCCAACTACACAACAATATGAAACAACTAAACAACATCATAGACAACAACCACAAAGAAACCCACTACCACCACAAAACGCACCACCACCACTACAACAACAACGACCACCACGCCACGTAATATACTCTTCAACTATGATGATGAAGGACGTCATAAGATATTGCATCAGGAGGACGCACGTAAACACGACAAATACGACCATGCGTAAGTATTAGACAATTACACTTATTACAGTTATTACAGTAATTCTTCGCGGAAGAATTATAACAACAACAGTATTAGCAGCAATAATTATTGTAGGCGTTGCCATTGACAATAGTTATTTCATTTCTCAGTCATTTTTTTATTGGGAAAAAAGTTTAAAATACATTTTTTTGTTAATGCTTCAGAAGACATCTATAATATTGTAATGAATTGTAGGTGTCTTCCAAAAATTAAATATATTCTCTCTTATCTATACATTTATATATTATATATATACTATATATATATTAATAATATATTCATATATTACTAATATTTTATAAATATATATTTATATTTTACAATATAATTTTTTACATATGTTTTAATCCGGCTATAAATGCATTATAAAAAAACACGTTGATAACTAAATTCAATAAATTTTATATTTTATAAAATTGTATTATATTTTATCTCTGTTAAAAAAATTATATTAATCTTATCTTATATCTTCGTTCTAGATACTTAACTGAGAATGGCATCTATGGTGAAGAACAAGCGAAATTGCATCACGAAGGCGGCACTCACGCCAAGGGTTACTATGAATACACTGGTGATGATGGTAAATTGTACCGTGTCAACTACAAAAGCAACCACGAAGGCTTCATGCCCATGGGTGAACATATACCCACACCACCTCCAATTCCAGAAGCCATTGCTCGTGCCTTGAAATGGGTAGATGAAAAACGCAAAGCCAACGGTGAGATGCCAATGTTTGACGAACGCGGTTTCCGTATTGACAAAATGATGACCAAAGACATCATGGCAAAAATCAAGTCCATACATGTAGAGGATATGCCAGCTGAAATTGGCGAAAAAATCCGTGAACTACAAAGGGAAATGGAATTAGAGGAACGTAAACAACAGGAATGGGAACGAACACACTACGAAAGCGAAACTGATGCTGCTGTTACTGATCGGCAATATTATGATGATGCCACAGAGCAATATTACGGTTAAGACGAGTTAGACTAAACAAATAAAAAAAACAACTCGTAAACAATTGTGATGCCACTTCAGGGATTAAAAAGCTATTAAGTTTATTTATTTTAGTGTTAAATTGTTAAAAAAAAATAAATGTTAAAATTTTATGAAAACTCATTCGAAATCAAATTCATAAACATTTTCGTATCGAATTTAATTTTCTTGCCATTAAGTAACGAGTAACCATTAGAGTTGTGCTGAAAATACGAGAAATGTGTAATATTAACAAATTTACTTAAGTCACCACCACAACTTGTCATACTAAAACAATTCCCCTTCCCCACGCATTTGTCGCTCCAGACAAACTATAACAAGCCATCAAACAAAAATCTTTAAAAAAAAAATTATAATTATTTAAACAAAAATGTTTTAAAATTGTATTTAATTTATAATTTATAATTTAAAATATAAATAAAAATTGTTAGAATTTTAATTATTGAAATTGTGTTTTATTCTCTGCATTTTGGATTGCCTTCCTAATAAGTAATAAATTTACTAGCCGAAACGAATGGCGATAAAGGTGTCTTTCACTTCGTTTATGAGAAAAATGTTCTTACTTAAAAATTAAATTAAAAATTAAAAAATATAATACCAACAAAAGTAGTAAATAAAACTCATTTTAAACTGTTTTTTATGGTTTTTCATGGTCAAGATTCACGCACTGTCACAGCAGGCCATGTAAAAAAATTCGAAACCGCTTCGAGTTGTGGGTGTGCCAAGCAGGAAGCAAGTATTTAAAACTACAATTTAAATCTCTTCAAAACACATAAAATATAATTAAAAAACCTCAAATGATACAAAAAATTAAATACATATCTTAAATATAAGACAATCTACTAAATTTCTTTATTTAAAATGTAGATAATCTCGATAAGTGACAATTTTGAAAATTTCCTGCCATTAAAAATGAACACAATCCAATAAATTCCACAGCCTCAAATGAGAATGTGCGTTAATAAACTTGCTTCCAAGCACAACAAGATACATGTAAAAATTAAATAAATTAAATAAATTAATAATTAAACTTATAAGAACGGAGTTCACTGCCTTAGAATTATTCAAATAAGTGCACAGAGTACACAGAGTATACAGAAAACTTATTAAAATTTATTACATTACACAAAGTAAACAATAAATTCCAATTATACGAAAAGCACTCACACAGAGATGTCAAGCACTTCAAATTAATTAAATAATATTTAATAAAATTTAATATTTATTTTGAATATTCCACATTTTAATCAACTGTCTACTTTTGAATAAACAACAACAATTATATTTTTTATGTTTTTTTTAAGAGAATATATTTATTTCAATATTTTTATATAATATTAAATTATATTTTAGATTCTTATCTCAAATAATTTTGTTTTGATGAATGAAAATAGAAACAAAACATATTAAGTTCAATGAACCCCAAAAATAAATGTAGCAAGTTTAGAAGATCATCTTTTGCAATATGCTCTCAAGTGTATATGGAACAATTTCAGAAGATAGAGCATCTTTTACATGTTTAGTTGCGATATTGGAGCTGAATATTGTCTCATACGTTGCTTTTGCTTTCATGATTAACTGCAACAAAACGTTTGGAAATTGTAAACAAATTTTATTAATTTATTTATTTAATAAAAGTTTTTCAATATTTTAATAAATATGCGATGCTTAAAACAAATATCCAAGGTTAAGCGTAATCTAATAAACATAGCTACCAAAATGCAAACAATCTCGGGTATTATATTTTATAGTAACTGAAAAATAAAAGAACATATCAATTATAAATATATATTAAGCAAACTCGCTAATTATTAATAGTTTACCATTAAAATTTACCCTTTTTACCATAGAAATCGCTACGGTTTCCTTTACTGCACTTTGTTCCATTGTTTTTCTTACTAAGTGTTCTGTTTTTCTAATCGACTGCGCTTTGTTTTAGTATTTCTCTAGCTTTATTTCTTATATAGCAAATTCTTCTAATTTCTAAACGTTCATTCGGCTGTTCTTCATTTTTATTTTGATTTATATTGCACATTAGTAGAATATTTCTAGTACGTTTGTTTTTTGTTTTAATTTTATAAATTTAAAAAAATTATTTTAACACATATTTGAACGAGTTTTCTATTTAGACTACAATTTCGATTTTTCAAGTTTATATTGAATGTCATTATATTAAAAAAATGTCTATAGTCGAAATAAGTAGTTCCAAATCTAATGTTTAATACAACTTTAAAACTTTACTTTATAGTCGTATAAATTATTATTATTTAATTTTTTTTTAATTATATTGGTTTATATTGAACCAATATTCGTTAATAGTTTTATATCTTACTTTTTCTGAAATTGTTTTCAAACGAATAATACTTAATTTTTAAAGATCTTCTTTTTGAATTTATATCAGCCTATAGTGACAAGATCCTTTTGACTTATTTCTACGATCGGTATAAGATATGTCAAAGCCATCGCATGTGCTAACGCTGTAAAAATCGGATCATATTCAAATAGGATATATTTGAATATATCCTCTCAAGTTTGATGAGACCTAATGATTTGTATGAATTGATTACCATCGACTTCGTAAATTCGAAGGTTCGTTAGCTACTTCAGTCATTGATTCCAAGGACTTATTAACTTGGAGAAGATGGTTTTCTTTTAAGGAAGCACATTCTGCTTAAATGTGCTAAAATTAAAAATTTAGTTTCTCTGCAATCTTCGTATAAAAATTAATTTGATCAATTATAATTAATAAGATTTTAATTTGACAACTATTTTTGCAATACATTTTTATTCATGTTTATTATAGTTAATAAACAGAAATTTATATTTTTAATTAAAGCCATAAACATGCGTATACGTATTAGTTAGTATGCATGCCTTGACATTTTTTCAATTTATTATTTCATTCAATAGTAGTTGGACTGTTAAAATTAATATCTTCATTATAAATGATTAGCAAAAATGCGTTGACTTAATAAATTAAATAGGAGCAACTTTTAACAACTATTAATTAAATTCATTAAAATTTTCGTAAATGCTTAACATAAAATATTATGAATATTGAACTAATAAGTGGAATATTAACTAATTAAATAAATAATAGCAAAATATAAAAAATCGTATGTAGTTAATATATAAATTCATATGCATAGAATTTTAGTGAATGTGTCAAAAAATCCGTTATACTTATTTCTTGGCTCCAATAATATTCTTATAATTATTATCATTTAGCAAATTAACTAAATTTATTGTCATTAAATAAAGTTATAAATATTTTGATTTTTAGTGTTAATTAAAAAATTAAAAACTGCTAATGCCATAGCGTGAACTCATATTTCATATTAACATCTCGATTTTCTATTAATTTCTTTTCATTTATAAATAAGCATCAGTAGTTTTTTTGTAAATAACTATACAAATGAAATCAAAAAAAAAATTTAAAAAATGTGCTATATATTTTATTTATTATTAAATTTATTATTTATTTTTTAATCTGTATTATTCATTTATTCATGCATAATTTCTATAAAATTAGTTTGCTTGACGTATGAGTTACATTATTTTCATAACATATTTTTAGGCAATTTCAATACATATAAACATTTAATTTTTCAAAGATAAGCTTAATATAAAAAGCTTTTCCATTGGATACGCCCAAGCATAACTGTTCGTAGTAATTATTAAATTAGCTCCATGTAATTCAACTGATATCTGATCATTTCTATATATCTGTCAACTTTGACGTATTCTGACAAATGGACTATGCAAAAATAGTTCCTGAATTTACTATTCTTAAAAATTATTTTGAATATTTTAAAAATTTTGACTGAATCTCAAAGAAGTTGATTTAACTTCTTGAGATTCAAAGAAGTTGGTTCAACTTCTTGATATTCAAAGAATCGAAAAATAAGAAACAAACATTTTAAATATGTTTATTACATATTAGAATAATTGCTAGTTTGTACCACTGTGGATTATTGTCGTCCCATTTTTTGACTAATTATAAACTGTTCACAGTAGGACTTCCTTTCCTCTTTCCTATTTAAGAAACCATATTGACTCATTAATGAATTTTGTAAAACTTTTCCATTGCAGTGTAAATGCAGGTCCACAGACATTAGATCTTAAATGATTTTATAATCCTTTCATATTGATTTCAAAACGTTTCAAACATCACTCATATAGGTATATGATTAGGATATATTGATTTGAACTTAACAATTGTTCAAGAACAAATATAACATAATAATGGAATATGTATGGTCATTCATAACTTAGCTATTTTTATTACCCCACTATGTATTTTATAATACTAGCATTCTAGTATTGATATAAAGTTGCTCTAAAAGATATCAAGGGTAAAAGAGTTATTAAATAAAGTCTAAGTCAGTACGGAGAAAGTTGCTATTTCGAATATTTTGTAAAAAGTATTAAGAGTATAAATCAGTTCTGTTCATTTGATAGTATATGAATCAATTCAAGATCTAAGATTCAAATGGTGTAGGTGATTCAATCACCTATATATGGAACTATATTCAACAGCCTCGGTGCCAAACTTCGAAGCATAGCAATGTTTGCTGTAATCCAAGTCGTTAAGACATTTTAACGTGCAAATCTTTAAATTCAATTCTAATATTTATCTTGATAGAAAATATGATAATCTCTTACTTTGAAATCAAACTTTCATGCTCCTTAGTTATTTTCAACGGAAGTAATATACGACAACTCAATTGCTTAACGCTGAGGTGAATTTGATAATTCTTTGATGATTACTGATAAATAAACTACAATGTTCTGTCAACTGGAAGAACAAAGTGAATCAGCTCCTCTCGATATACGACATCTTTATCGTTGGGACTCGCGCCAAATATTATGTTAATCTATTATTATAGGCAACAAGCCTGTGAGGTGAATTTGATAATTCTTTGATGATTACTGATAAATAAACTACAATGTTCTGTCAACTGGAAGAACAAAGTGAATCAGCTCCTCTCGATATACGACATCTTTATCGTTGGGACTCGCGCCAAATATTATGTTAATCTTTTATTATAGGCAACAAGCCTGCTTCAAAGCATTACAGTCTCTTAAACTATTTTGTTTATTTCACAAAAATTATTAATTAGTAAAGAGGATTTTCAAAAAATTTATTAATTAATTAAATATAAATGACATGTTATTTTCTATATTCTCAGAAGAAACTCTCAAGGCATTTAAATTGCTATCAATTTTATATTATGAACCATAAAATCCAAAACTTCATGTTTAGTTGGAATCACAGTACTAAAATAGTGGTTAAAGACACTAATAATGAATGTTTGAAGATTTATTCTTACTTCACACTAAAACAATGCACTGGATGACAAGGCCATAGTAACGAATGATTATTATTTAATTCTATTTTTAGTTCTACTTTTATGCCATTTTCATAAAAAATCAAATCACTAAATAACTTTTTGAAATCATACTCTCATTGATTTTATATAGATACAAATTTTGTCTACATGAAGTCATTGCACGGAGCCATAAATTAAGACAAATATTCGGCACCGAAGTGGAGCACAATCAGTGATGATATTTACAAATGAACATTTTTTCTGACCATTAATCACCACGAATTGAGGAGCGTCGCTTATTGCGTCAAGCAAATTTGACAGCTGATAAATTATGAATACAAATTCTTAAGTATTTTTGAAGAAAAAAACTCATAAAATTCTAAAAACGGTTGTAACTCTTTTATTAATAAGTTGAAATTAATTGGTTTATTTAGTATTAATTTAGGAGATAGAATATTGCACTTAGTGCATTATTTGAGGTAGCGTCTACATTAAAGTAATTCAAACTAAGCGGCTTTTCAATTCAATCGAGTGATGACAACATCGGCTGGTTGTTGAGTAGGAACCAATTGTTCAGAATTGACACCATCATCTGAAAATTGATCATTTTTGTTATTAGTTGTTCTATATGAGAAAGTTATGTCGAGAAATACTTACAGGTAATGACAGGATGGAAACCATTATCATCGGCAGTGTATTTGACAACTACACGTATACCTTCTGGTGTAACGAAAGAATATGATCCTTCAACTACTTCCTTCTCTTCATCATTACCTACACGTACAGACACACCATGTTCTTCACCATGAATGCCATTTTCTGTTTCGTAATTATAAGAATAAGTGCCATCGTGATTTGGTACAATTTCTTGAGCTACAATACGCGCTTGTTGTGCCACAACATCGGGATTGTACTGTTTGAAGTAAGTATCGTAGTGCTGGCGTCTATTGTAGTATTCACGGTTCTTGTAATAACGATAGTGGTCATTATGGTATGGATTATAACGTCCACGATCGTCGTATCTGGAAGTTGTTGCAGATGATACAGTGGAAGCAAAAATTGCGAGTAAAGCAAATACAGCTAGAAAAATCTGGAGAATAAAAATAATAAATTTTATTAAATTTATTAAATTTTATTATTTAAAATTAATAAAATTTAAATGGAATTTAAGTAAATTAATATAAGATCAAATGTTGCTCATTTGATTTTTGTTATAATTAAATACACTTATGTGTCAGCTAGTTCGAATTCTGGTAATATCACCGGTTGATGCTAGCTATACAATCAAAAAGGTGTTGCCACATTCATAAAAGATGAAATTGTATTAGTTTTATTTAAAACTGTTAAAAGGTTTATGGATATTGCTGAATAGGGAAATACTTTGCGATCTCACTAGGACGGTGCTCAAAGCTGATACCTTTGCCGTAGCTTGTGGTAGGATTGATGCCAGGTTACCGTCGGTTAAAGAATCATGTCTGGATATTGAAGGCCATTCAATAGTTTCTTTTGAGTGTTTTATATATTATTTATCCTTATTTTGTGCTTGTGCAATGTAGATTAAATGTGCCATGAACATTTTTTTCTAGCGAATGCTCGTCTATATGTTCTGTTGTACATCCTCTTATGTTACTTAGAATCAGATTATCAGCGAAAGCAGAATGGATGGTGACAATAGTTATTTCTGCTAATTCCCAAAACGATTACCCGAATATGTCTGCTTTATAAAGCCTGTTACTGCTGTAATAATTGACATTTTTAGGAGGTGCCTATTTCACGGACGTGTAATCTCAATAGCCAGGGTCTAATACAATAATGATAATATTGTTATGTGTTCATATTACTGCATACATCTTTTTCTTATTTATATTGACACTTTAAACAATTTTTTCAAACAGTTCCTCATTGTCTGCATTTCTGCCTCCAAAATAAAAACCAGGATGAATATTTTAAATATTTTGTCCAAACAACATATCACTGTTTTTCCATATTATTACTTAGAACTCTTTAAGATTTTTTTCTTGATTTTTTAACTCTTATTTTATTAAATTAACTTATATCAAATCTTTAAAAATTTTACCAATTTTGCCATTTTTGTTCTAAAAGTACACAATGTTGCCACTAGAGAAGATGCCTTAAAACTGTATCAAATCAATTTGAGATGTCGCAATTTATACAACATTTTTGTATCTAACGAAATTTCAAAAATAAAAAAAATGGCGGCTCTGCCAAAATTAGTATTCCAAAAATTTTTATTACCAAAACGATTTTCTTAAATGAAATCAAATGAGCGAGAAGCCAATCCAAGCCCAAAACATCTTCACAGATTTCATTTGTCAATTTCCGCTTAGAATTTTGCTTGCTGAGATTTTTTCTCATTAAATTTATATTTCATTTAAATAATAATTTGCTTAGTCAAAAATAGCAAAAAAAGATTGAAATGAGATTAAATAAACTATAACAAAGTTCCAACACCTTAACAAGTATGAAACGGCAATTAATGGCGGATATTGTTTTTGAACGAATTTGTGACTTTAAAGTGTTTAGGCTAAGTGATGTACACATATGCCATCACAGATACAATTCAACTCACTCACGTATCCACGTATCTGTATCTTTGTACTATTACCAAAAATGTGGCGGCACATCATTTGTTAAATAACTCTATTCAATCACAATGCAAATGTTTTGCAGACCCAGCCAGAGGGGGGCTAATTCGATTTTTATACATTTAGAGCAGGTTAAGTTAATAAAAATGTTAATCTAATATTTTAATGTATTTTCAAAATAAATATTTAACTTAACAACTTCGATTTAAATAATTAGGCAATTTATCGAATTAGCCTAGGTATTATAATGCAAATTTTATGATTAAAATATGTATGAAAAAATTTTTTAAAATTTTCTCAGTCTGGACGACTTGACTTTACGCATAAAATTTTTTAAAATTTCAATATTCAATCGAAATTTAAATTTAAAAAAATTTAATATCTGCAAATATTTTAGCATATTCTTTTAACTTGACAAAATTATTTGCACTTATTAAGAAGTTAGGTATTTTGACTCAGGAATTTGTCTCCATCCCAATTGTATTTTTACACACAAAAATAATTAAACAAATCCTTTATTAATAAAGCTTATTCTTATTATCAGTCAGGTCTGCATTATGTCGTCAAAGACTTCATCTACATGTGATAAATTGAAGAAACCAATTTACTATTCACTATTTATACTTGTAATATACGTAATGTACGTCAGTGATTTGGTTTCATTAACCCCAAGTAAAAGAAACTTACTGGACTTGGTCACTAATTTTAAAAATTAGGCTAAAAAATAGGTTTAGTAGAAAACCGAATAAACATTTACTACTGAATTAGGATAAGAAACAACAGCAAATTATAACCAAGAAGATTATAGATCTTGTTCAAATGTCTATATTGAGAAAGTAAGTACTTTTACGTGCTCAGCTTTACATATTAGCTATGACAATAGCACATGACACCATAACCCATATAGCCTAATATTAGATAAAGAATATTTTCTTCATTATAATATATGTAATTAAATTAATATTATAATCTACAAAGTATATGTTATCGAATATTAGAAAAATAAATTTTGATCAAAATTGCGTTAGGGTGAAAACAAGACAATGAAAAACACAAAACAAACGTGGATGGATGGAAATTTTCCAACTTTAATTCTTGATATGCTAAAAACTAAACAATATTTCCATTGTTATTAATCAGTTAAAAAAATGTTTATAAACAGCTGAATTAGCTAACATTACTTTTGAAATTGTCATGCCCCGGAAATCGGAATCGTGACAATTATAATTATAGTTATATCTTATTCTTCTAAAGTAATATATGGACTACAAAAGTAAAATTTACTTAACTGAGTAATATAATAAATAGAAGAAAAAGTTGTTTAGAACAGAACTGTCCAGGCCAATACAAGTCACTATAGAGATTGGAGGGGCGCAGAAACAAATACATACATTCATAGTTGTTTTGGAAAAAAATAAAAATAAAGTAATAATGTTATAATGTTAAATTTAGTTTTATTAAGGTAATTTTAATAATTTATTAATTGTGGTAGATTATAAACATGTCGCGTACCGTGGGCCGTGCTTTGCACAACCCTGGTTTAGAACAACTGACGCAACTAAATCCCATTTTTGAGTAAACTAACTATGGAAATCGTGATCGTGGCAGTTATATTTATAATTATTTCTTATTCTACTAAAGGGGTATATGGTACAAGTACATATAAATGTGATTTTGTATATAGTTCAAAATTTATTTATTTTATTATATTTTTTATTTTAATAAAATGCTGATAACATTATGAATGTACTTATTCCTCACCATAAACATATAAACCTAACTACGCATTGCATATTTTGTGTTAGTTTAAGTTAACACCACATTAGCCCAAAAAATTTAAGAAGTTTAAGATTCTATCAAAAAATTTAAAAAAAATTACATCATTAAATATTAAATTAAGCAACCGCTGCAGTTAATATAAAAGCAAATAAGTGTCACAAGAATGAACTCGTAATTACCACGTCTCGGTATTCAACGACTTCGAAGCCATCAACAGCAGCAACAAGCTTAGCAGAAAAAAAGTATTAATAATAATTAACAGACAAAAGTAAATATGGCATCAGCAGCATAATTGACGACGCTTACTGCGACAGAATTGAAACCAACAAAAGCAACAAAAGCAACGAAGCAACGAGCAGTAACATTAACAGCAGCAATGAAACTGAACCAACTGAACCAACTAAAACAATTACACAATTACACAAACAAACACAGACGACCTTCGCATTTAATACGTTTACATTGGGCATTGCATGCCACTAACACCTTAAGCAGATGCAAACGCACACAAAGACAAATATTTTACATTAAATCATCACATACTGTGATGATTATGAACGAAAACTTAATCTCCAACCAGCAGCAAATTAAAGCATGCAAAATTAAAATCATTAATAATTGCATTTTTTTTTTCTTTTTTAATAAAAGAATTTAAATAATTTCTATATAAGCAATTTTATGTTTCATTCAGAGTTTGTTAAATAATTATTTGAAACGAAATGTATACTCTGAAGTTCAAGAAACTTTGAGGAAATCCGTTAAAATAAAATACAATATATGATATTATAGTAATTATTTGCCAAACCAACAAAGCAATAAAACTTTTCTAATTTAAAATTACAAGCGTAACCACAAAAATGTTTAAAAAACATACAAAAATTAATTAAAAAATTTGCATAAACAAATAGAATTGTTGCTAATTAAGTTAAACTGGTGCAAAACACCCTGTATACGCCACGAACTATACAACAATCGGAAGCAACTGCTGATCACTTTGCGCTGATATAAACTAATTTATTTAATATGCAAACATAAAAACTCATTATAAAAAGCGCGTTAAATATTTAACTTCATTAATAACGCGATGCTTATCTGCTACACCAGAAACGTCAATAAATGTCAAAATATTTTTCGATTTCGATTTCATATCAGTTTTATAGGCAGACTTTATTCAAAAATATGCTAAATACCAGATACACTTTTATACACTTAAACTGTTTAATTTCTATTAAAAAACATACAAGATCAAAAAAAAAAAATAAAATTTGCATAAATAAAAATTTGGAATGGTTTTATTGTTTTTAAATAATTTATGCATCTCGTGAATGCTCACAACTATTCATCGATTCTTGTGTCGACGAAGCTGTTGATGTTACTTGGGTGCTTAAGTGCTTAGGTGCTGTCTTATGTGAGAATTATTATAATTTTTTGTTTTCATTAATTATTAAAATTATTTTATAATTAAAAATCATATAAAAATCGAATAAAATGTCAATAATGGACACAGAAGATTTTGATATTTGAGACATGATGTTAAAAACCGAAGTCGTTAAAATTGAAACATTAAAAATTGGTATTATAATAATATCAATAATAATATCTAAGACAGTAAAATCAGAACATTAAATATAAAATAAATTTTTTATGCTTTATACTAATATTGCGCATGTTTTTTCTTTATTTCTGTATATGCGCTTTATAAGACTATAGCCTATAAAACTTAATACAATTAAGATAAATATTTTCAATTCAAAACAGATAGAAAGAAAGATACAAACATTTTTGAGTAAATGTCTGCGGAAAATCCTAGAAATATGATGGTGTAACCACATATCAAATGCAGAACTTTTGCTCCAAACAAATCAGAAAGCTGCTGAAATAAAAATACGAAAACGGAATGGGTAGGGCATACTACGCGACGACTAAATAAATACATTCCACGACAAGCTTTGACATGGAATCCACAAGGCAGCAGATGCCCTGGGGCACCGGCTTTCACTTGGAGAAGGACAATTGAAAGAGAAATGACAGAAGCACACTACACATGGAACGATATATACTGAGAAGCATCTAACAGAGTGGGGCACCGGCTTTTACTTGTAGAAGGACAATTCAAAGAGAAATGACAGAGGCGCACTACACATGGAACGATATATACTGAGAAGCACCTAACAGAGTGCAGTTTAAGAGAATCGTTGCGGCCCTATGCCCCACTAGGGGAAACGGGCACTAAGAAAAAGAAGAAGATAAATATAGAATAGATAGGATAGATGTCATTTTATTTTATAATTCTTTAAATTATTTGTTTTTTTAAATGTACAATATGTATTTTTAATAATTTTTATATGATTCATCCACTTCGTTGGTATCCTAACAATTCAATTGAATGATGATTTACACTGCACACAAGTTTGCTGCTTAAGTCTTTCGTTTGGACGAACTAAGCCGCTATCAGTAAACAAAAATTATTTTTAATTGCCGTTAATTAAATTATTATGTTATATTCTTAGTTTTATTGGCATGTAAGTAACCTTTCAGTGCAAAATATTTACAAAATCTGAAATTTTATACGACCTCGCCGAATTTAACGAATTCAACGAATTTTTTATGCACAACTTAAGCCAAAAAATGTAATTTATGGATAAAAAAATTATTGGCGACAATCATTTTTTAAACAGCAATGAGGCAAACTGGTTGTGTAGATACTTACATGTATGGGCTAACAATAAATATTGACTAAA